AAGAAGAAGAAGAAGAAGAAGAAGAAGAAGAAGAAGAAGAAGAAGAAAGAGGAGGAGAAATGAGGAGGAGGAGGAACAATCAAGCATCTTCTACAACATATAGTGCAAGGATTATAACAGGCACTTTGTATGAAAGACAGGTAGAAGAGTAGCATCCATGAACATCAACTAGCAGTCAAAAGACCCCATGAAAACTTTTTAATCTCACAATCTCAATCAATTTCAACAGGGCAACTGTGAGCATCTTAAACTAAGCCAAATCTAAAAATCCTAGAGATTTCTTAGAAGCTTGACATTCAGACATTCATCCATCAACAGATAGAAGAGACAAACCACATTTACACACCATTCAAATAAAAAAATAAAGCTGGGAAAGAAACAGATTAGAATTCATCCCCTCCAGCAACCAAGGCTCAGATTGATGAGAAGGGGCTGACTCTAACAATCAATACTCTACTCAAGGAGTCATCAAGGAGAAACTTCTACCCCTATTGAAACTGGTTGGATTGCCTGCTTATGATTGTATAACATCAAGTCACTGTTGACGTCTAGAGACAACCTAGATAGATTTTTCTCCATGACAATGTGTCTCAAATTTGGTCCTTCAGGTCTTCCAAATCCTTTATCACTCCTGTAACTGAATCCATCCACTTTGCTATTGATACTTTCCTCCTCCTCCTCCTCCTCCTCCCCCTCCTCCTCCTCCTCCTCCTCCTCCTCCTCCTCCTCCTCCATTCTATCTTTTACAGCATTAGGCCATTTTCCAGAGACCTGGGTCTTCACATAATTTGTTTTTTCTGCATCCATTTTATCAGGAAAGGGGACGTGGTGATCTACCAGTTAAGATCAGTAGTGGGATTCAAAAAAATTTACTACCAGTTCTGTGGGCGTGACTTGGTGGGCATGGTGTGGCTTGGTGGGTGTGGCTTGGTGGGTGTGGCAGGGGAAGGATACTGTAACAATCTCCATTCCCTCCCCATCCTGCTAACCTGCTTTCCAGCCCCATTCTCCTGTGCAGGGCAACCAAAGAAGACCCAGCTGATCAGCTGGGACTTGATGGGAGGCAGCGAATAGGGGCCAGTCAGTCAATAGGGGTGGGGCCAGCCAGAGGTGGTATTGGCCAGTTCTCCAAACTACTCAAAATGTCCACTACCAATTCTCCAGAACTGGTCAGAACTGGATGAATACCACCTCTGGTTAAGATGCTGGGCTTGTGGACCAGAAGGTTGGCAGTTTGAGACCCAAGTACTATGAGACGGGGTGAGCTCCCATTCTTGTCCCAGCTTCTGCCCATCTACCAGTTTGAAAGCATGGAAGTGCAGGTAGATAAATAGGCACCATTTCAGTGGGAAGGTAACAGCATTCTGTGCACCTCAGTGAATAATTATGCCGGCCACATGATCATGGAAGTGTCTTCGGACAACGCTGGTTCTCTTGGTGAAGAAATGGAGATGAGTATTGTCCCCTTGTGTTGGACACATTGGGGAAATCTTTACTTTTTCCTCTTATTTTATCAGGATTTTACTACTTTGCTAATGCAGACACTGAAACACGACACACACACACAGACACACACACAAACAACAAATTGTGATGCAGTCCTAGATTGCTGTTATTATGATTATTTCATTAATTAATGTGCATATGCATGTCATATGTTGATGAGAGGGAATCAATGCTGAATTGAACAGAATTGTGCTGAAATTGTAAAATTTAGTTGCTCCAAATTGTCTGTACGATGGTTTCCAGAATTTAGTGCCTCATAGCTGTATTCATGGTGTTTATTTGTTCATTATTTGAAAGCAGACTAATTTTGTTTACACTTAGGGGATTAATATCTTCATAGAATTTTGTAATGAGCAGATTAGATTGAGGGTATAAAAAACCAAAAATAAACAATGGATATATTAAAATGCAGTGAACTCGCTTTCACTGCTGCAAATGCTGATGGGCAAAATACAAAAATAATCAGATAAAAGGGAAACAGGCCTGTATATCTTAGGACAGAGTCAACGCATAAATGTAAAGTTAGGAGAGAAAATAGGAGTGTATGTTTAAAACACAGATTTTTTTTTGAGAAATAAAATCAGATTTGTGCAGAAACTGGGCAGGATTTATAATACGGAAGTCTGTAGAACAGACAAGGCTTTGAAATAGGCCAGTCTGATTGCCCCAAATCTAGCCCTTTAGTTTATCACATTAATACCTCCTGAGGTATTTGCACAAGATAAGAAGAATTAAATCTCTTATTTCTGAAGAGATTCTGTAATGTTATTCTCCCTCTAGGTTTTTTCCTTCTTTGCAATTTAGAAGCACTCATGTTTCTTGTGGAAAGGCATTTTCATCCATGGTGCCTGTTTAATTTGGCTCCTGTTTAATTGTTGTTACTTTATTATACGTGTCTTTCATACAGTGATAATTGAGTTTATAATACCTTATGCAGCCTAATGTGAAAAAATATTCTCCCCCCCCCCACCTTTGCTAAATAGAAATGACTTTCTCCCCTTATATTCCTCAGGGGGCTGTTTTATCAAACTCATGTTAAGTATTTAGCAAAGTAATCATTGCTCAATTGTGAAGCACCAGAAGTGTAAAATTATGATAATATGAATGGAAGGAACACAAAGTATAATGCAGATGACCATATTTTGCTTGATTATTAATGGAGTTTTCATCTAATTTACAAGACCTAACCTTGTGTGATATCAATGCAAAGCACAAGTGTACCTTTTTAGTTCATAATTTAATTAGATTCGCAATATATCAGCACATTTTTTTTCCTCATTAAGCAAAAGAAATCACAGGATTCTTAGTCAGGCATGCAGTAAATAGTGTTCAAACAGTGTCAAGTAGATTTTTCCCTAATCCAAAGAGCTTGCCCCCACTCATCCCCCCCCAAAAGAAACCCATTTAATTATTTTCAACAGAA